TTAAATCTGATTTTGTTTTATTCTGACCGTAATAATTCACACTAAGAACTTGTCGAGACATTTAAAAAAGAAAAATTAACTAAATTAATTTCTACAACTCTTATATCCTCTATAAGTACTCATATTTGAATATACTATGACTTTATAAGTACAGTTTAGCTTAAAATTCATATAAATTGCTAAAATCTAAGCTATATTTGGTACTTTTTTGGTTTAAATACTTGAAATTACTTGAAGCTCAAAGCAGACAACTTGGACTTGATTTTGATTTATGGGTCAGTGACTCGAGACTTGACTTTGACTTGCCTGTATTTGACTTGGGACTTGAGTCGGACTCGAGGTCAAAGGTTTGAGACTTACTTGAGACTTGGTCCCACCTCTGTTAAGCACAAGGTTGGAGACCCCTGCTTTAAGTGATTCACCACCACATAACGAATTTATTTTATATTATCAAGTATCCGTGAGGCTTAAATTTGACCAATCTGAGCCACCGTACAAGATTACTCTCATCATTTCCTGACCACACCTCCTCTACTGTCTTGTATACACATCAAAAAACATAAAATAACATAACATAAAATACATTTGAGTGGCATGTTGGAGTCTTTGTACAAGTTGATCTCACACTTTACACATCTGCACTGCACAGTTGGTCTGGTGGCTTCGAACGCTTTAAATCTCCAATACAAAAACTAGAGCACTTTCATGTACAATATCGAACATTACATATCGTCATTTACACTCGGACAAAGCTATGGACAGACCAGTGTTCAATGCAAACACACTTCAGTATATACATTTGAAAAGATATGTGCTTTTCAGAACTAACTATCTTCTTGATAATTAGACTTTTCCACATTGGGTTCCCATACGCATTGGCCAGTGATTCTTAAAACAGAACCGACTCGAAAATCTGTTACATATCCTTAAAATGCTCTATAAGTAAACTTTTTTTCTAGCTTGCGTTAAAATCTTACATTCAAATGGCAGAAATACAAGCTCAGAATATCATTAATAATAGAATTTACCTTTTAAAATACGAAAATAGGAGCAAAATTTTCATATATTTTCACATGAAGTGGCGTGTCAGTAAATTAAAGGTGCACTATGTAACATTTCTGGTGCAGATGTTATTGCTTTACCTGGAATATTCCACAGTATGGCATTATATAACACGATAATCTGTCTAGGTTACAGGTAAAATACAGAGAGGCACAGAAAGTACGCATGTTTTTCACTGTATTTTTGAGCAATAAAACAAGTGTAATTGGTTAAATGCAAGATAGATATGTTTAATGCCATATTGTGGAACATTTCAGGCCGGGCAATAATGGTCAGATGCGGACCACTCACCAGAAAAGTTACATAAATGGTTCTTTAAAGGTCCTATATTACACAAAATTGACTCCTGTGAGCTTTAAGTCATGTTATAATGTTGTCATCTCCTCAAAAACAGACCTGGAGTTGTGCTTTGTTTCATTCACACATGTTTAAGTAATACTTTATTATTAGTCTGTCCACATCTCCAAACCTCAAAATGCTCTGTTCCACCTTGTGATGTCATGAAGTGGTAGTTTTCAAGCAATATTTTACCTTTAGTTCAGTAAAGATTGGCAATTCCAGGGCTGAAATTATTATTGTGAAGTTGTGTGAAGTTTAAAACAGGGTTCCCACTCTTTTTCACTGACAAAATTTCAAAACAAAAAACAAAAACGACTTTTTCATGACCTAAAGTGAATTTTCCATGACTTTATGATGCCCAACATGTGTAGAACTGATCATACGTTTAAGGCTAAATATGAAATGTTAACACTTTTCACTCACCTTATGGTTTGGTATTATAGTTTTTTAACATTCAAAATCCTGTCAGTGCATTTATTGTCGTCTCTTTTAAACAAAAGGCGCAAACGTTCAAAAATAATCATAATAGTCGAATGCAGGCATGTCCAAACTATGACCCGGGGTCCAAATGTGGCCCTCAGACAAATTTTTCTTGGCCCTCAGACTTCCAGGTGAATTGGCCCAAATTACCTTGCATCAATTAAAAAATATTTTTTTACTGCAAGTTTTTTTTGAAAATCTACCTTGATAAAGCTCATATTTCATATTTAGTGTCTGGTCTTAAGGATCTTAGCATGAATAAAGACTGACGGCTCATTCTAATGTGTTAAATATTCCATTTATTCCCTGTACTGAGCACCAGTCGACGGCCCTCGATCGGCCCTCTGCTTCGTCTGTGTTTAGAGATGTGGCCCTTGATGAAAAAAGTTTGGACACCCCTGGCCTAATGAACTTAACAGAATGCTGTAGTTGCGTGAAAGAGATACTAAAATTCCATGAGTATTCAAGGATTTCCATGACCGTGAGAACCCTGTTAAAAACACAGTGGAGCACTTCCTGTATTACCACATGACATCACAAAATGGAAAAGTGTTTTCTGTTCGTGAGAAGAACTCAAATGTCAGAAGTATGTAGGGTTTGTGTGTGTCAAACATGTTTGAATGAAACAAAACACAACTCCAGGTCTGTTTGTGATGAGGAAACAACATTATAATAAAAATGGGAAAATAGCGTAATATGGGCCCTTAAAAAATTTCAAAAAAGAAAAGAAAAATCAAACTACAGGCAGTAAAAATTCAATATTTATACGTTTTCGTTAAAAGATAAGAGATTGGTCAAGAATCTGTTTTATTGGTAGAAATTTGGCTTCATAGATTGGCGTAATCGATTTTGTGCGATACTTTTAAGGCCATCACCGCACTTTATTTGGCAGTGGTTTGTCGAAACAGGAATGAAAGGTGGTTATGTAAATACTGTTATATTTTGGAGAGAGGACAGCCTATTTAAAACATAAACAACAATAACATCCAAAGGCACACACAGAAAGACTATGTAGAATATATTAGGACCATCAGTCACTCTCCTCCTGACGCTGTACCTGCCCTGAACAACTAAAACTGTTGCTATGTTAAAGACGCACTGTGTAGTTTTTCAAGATTAGTGTACCCCTGCTCGTTTCCATGGAGTTTTTGATGATTTTGTTTTGGCTGAAGTGCTCCACAGATTGATACGAACCTAATCTGTCTTCAACAAATGGGTTACAGGTCAGGTTTGTGGAGAGGCGACCCCACACACAGTAACAACGCACGATTTTTAAGATATTTTTGAGCATCTGTGATTCAATAAATGCAAGTTGGGTATATTTTAGGTACCGTGAGACTATATTTTAGTCTCACGGTATGATATTGTCACGGTATGACCCTCACGGTACGATATTTATTACGATATTGTCAGAAAGCTCACGATACGCTGGGAGTCTCACGATTAGGGATGTAACGAATATCCAAATCTCTCTGTACGATATTTTCACGATATACATCTCACGGTATATTTATTGTGATATTCTGTGGAGGCTAATATGCAACTTTTTCCTCTTAAAATGCCTTGTCAAGACTTAATCCAAAGAATTAAGCCTTGAAAGTGCTTAGATTTATATTGTATGCTGAAATGGAGCAAAGGATCATGGTCTATGTAGTTCCCGCTGTCTTTTTCTAACTATTGCTGCACCAAAACTCTTAATTTAAGCAAAGAAACTTGTAATTCGATATATTGTGATGGTCCACGATATTATTGTGAGAACTTTGACGATACGATATCACGATATTTTGGTTATTGTTACATCCCTAGTGTATTTATTGTCATATTTTTAACCATTTCAGGAAAAGCTATCTTATCTCCATAGAAACGAGCAGACGGACCAAGCGAACCACCAATCAGAAAAGTTACAGAGTGCACCTTTAATGCGTCTTATATACACCTATAATATCATATATCGATAAGCAGCATTGTAGCTAAATCCCTATGTTTTTTTTTTCTAAAAACTGGTCCAAAAACTGGGCACATAAAAGTAATTATAACGGAAAATAACTGTTATCTTACTTGAGTTAAAATTGTGCAACACAGTATGGCTTTCAAAAAGGCTAAAGAGGAACTAGGGCTGTACAATATAATACTGTTTTGACAATGTGATGGAAAAAAGTTGAGTTTAAACTTAAATTACAAAGGTCCCGTACCCGATTTATTTTTTTATCTATGCATTTGAGCAAAAATATTTCTTCCCAGTACAGTATATTGTATAAGCAGCTCTTGAATTAAGTACTATCATTGTGTACTGACTGCTTCTAACTTTTCTATCTTGGCATTTTAAGGTCAGAGAAGTGTGTAGTTAGCATGCTAGTTGTGGTTAACTTTACCATGGCGTCAAAACTACGCTCTGGTCTCAGAAAGTTGTGAAAAGACGGTGAAAGTAACGTCATCGTGGTGAATAATTAGGATGCGTAAAGTAAGTTTGGATCACTGCAAATCCTTTAAGATGAATTAGTTTTTCGGGTTTTAAAATAATTTTTAAAAAATCAGGTACAGCACCTTTTAATTTACAAAATAACTAAAAAATCTAATCAAAAATCTAAAACTTACACCTCATTTAGCTCATTTTGGTCTGTTTAGTTTTCAATAAGTCTCATGTTAAAGGTGCATTGTGTAACTTTTCTGGTGGAGTCGATTGCGTTTCTTCAAGGAGATGGCATTGCTTCATCTGAAACGTTTCACAGTATGGCATTAAAACTTGTGATCACCATGGAGACGAAACGAGATCAAGTTCAGATCGAGGTCAGATCTGTAGAGAGGCTGTTTTTTCTAGATAATTTTGAGCTATAAAACCACCTGTAATTGAATAAATGTAATGTAAATCAGTTTAATGCCATACTGCGGAACATTCAAAGCAAAGCAATGACATATTTTTGGAAACAAGAAAGTGACGGACCCAACCAAAAAGCTACACAGTGCACGTTTAAGTATTTCAAAAGGTTACCACAAAGTATCCCCATCCTTTATATTCGTGTCAAGGTTCTTTTCAACAGTAATTATTTTATTTTATTAATTTTACTTGTCATCTGAAACCAGGATTTACATTTACAATAATTCATCACAAGTCCACAGTGTTGTGTAAAGGCGTGTAAGTCTGAAAATCCTTTTAGTCGATGTCAAGTTAGCCAAGTCCTGCTATTCTTTTTATTCAAGTTGTATCCGTCACCATTGGACATTGGATTTTAAAGAACACATATTATGCATTCCTGTGGCTTTAATTCCTTTATAAACATGTTTTAGTCTCCTTGGGCTAAGTATTTCATATTTTCAAACGTAAAATAACATTTACATTGGGCAAACACACTTTACAAACTTCACCTCCGTTTCCAAGTAGGCATTTAATTACTGGAGCTCAATCTGCTGTCAGCAACGGGAATGAACAATAAGTACCGTATTTTTCGGATTATAAGGCGCAATATCAATAAATGATGAATTCTCTCGTCTATTTTCATACATAAGGTGCACCGGATTATAAGGCGCATTAAGCGAAACAAATGACGACACTTGAGACTGATCCCTTAGCCCTGGCATCCATGATCTGCCGATGGAGTGTAATTCGCCCGGCGTCGCCTCCCTGTCTTAGTGAATGTGTATGTTTGTTTGTTTTTTTTATTTCCTACGAGGAGGACTCAAATATACATTGAGTAATAAAGTGTTTAATGCAGCTTTGAGCACATTTGTTTACATTTTACAGAAACAAAAGTGAAAACCACATGACTAATTTGCATAAACTATAAGCTCTGAAAAAAACAGCTCGCTCCTTGTGCGCTTTGTAGCTTACCAAAGTCGTACTAAAGCATTTTGACAGATTTTTGAGCCCCATGTACCGCATAAAATCAGTTCGTGATCAGTAAGTACAACCAGAATTAATACATAAGCCGCACCGTGGACTTTTGAGAAAATTGAAGGATTTTAAGTGCGCCTTATAGTCCGAAAAATACGATAAATAAATAGTCTGTATCCCTTGTAAATACTACACTAACGGCGCTATGCATTTTTTGTGAACACATTTTGACAATAGAATGAGTCTGGTGATGATTTATGGACTTAAAAACTCCACATGAGAAGTTTAGAGTTTTAACTATGACGCAACAATCTGGGTAAAATGCAAACAGAGCTTTTTTCAGGGTTTAAATGAAGCTAAAATGCAACTCTAGGTATGTTTTTGATATAAGGACAATAATAAAACTTGGTCAAAAGTTCAAAAAAAGTTACTCTAGCATAATATGTGTTCTTTAAATTACAATTTCATCTTATAGCTGTTACCAAGGCACGACCCTGCTCCATATGATTTGAGTTAAATGACCACTAGAATCACTGTAGGCACGACTGGAATAGACTCTGGTACATTCACACGATGGCTTCTTACAAACTGCAATGGTGACATATTTATCCGTAACACCTTTTCAACCTAAATAATATCATCTCTGAATACGAAATATTACTTTGTGAACGACCTGAGGAAAAACTATGACCAAAAAGTACTGTATGCGTACACTAAAACTACTCTGCTTTGATTGTCTGTCAAAGCTGGCTTCTGATTGGTCCTGGCTGATCACGTGACCCCGCCCCCCCCTACACTGCTCTAGTCCTGACTGAGAAATGCACACTGACAGCAGATTGGGATTAAAAAGGGGAAATTAAAACATTTTGCACTGGTCATCACTAGAGGGCACTGTTAAGCAACACAACAGCAGGCCACGTTACAGTAATACTCAATAATAAAACGCATATATTCAAGCCGGAGTGAAAGAAAGCCATTTAAATCATATCCACAATTTTGTCGAGAAACTTAACACTGATAGGAGTTGAACTGTACCAATAGAACAACTTATTTATTTGAATTATAATACAAGGAAATAAATTAACTCGGATAAAAACAACCAGATATTTAGTCCTTCATTCGCTAAAATCCCGCTTTCGTTTAGTGGTTTTTCGTCCCTTCTTCAGTTTTCGTAACACTGGCGTTTTGTGCGTATCCAGTGTCAATTTTCAAAGTTTTGTTTTGAAATTCCACTTTTTCAGTCTTCCCTTGTTCCTCCTTGAAATGCGAAGGCAAAAATAGTCCCGGAGGGATTTGTCCTTCCTATTGCTTATAAGAAAACACCTACAGTATATATAGCGGATGGACGCAAAGCACTCTGGGTAAAAACACGTAAAATGGCGCCAGTCACCGATGGCTTTTGGATAAGGAACTCTGGCTTGTGCTGTCGACGCAGAACTGAGTGTTTTAAACTAGTTCTGAAAGACGGAAAAATGGAAAAAATATTTACAAATCCAAAAGTTCGACTTGCAGAGGTGAAAAAAATCCTTCCTCTTTGTTACTATTTAAGCCACACTGAAAAAAGTGGTTAAAGTAGTTTACGGACGGCGAATAGTGCAGTAGCTGTACTTTGTCAAAAAGAAACTCTAAATATGTTGTACCTTTGGAGAGTTAAAATCATTCAACTGAGGGAAAAAAATAATAAAATGAATCCAAAATTTTAAAATTTCGGCGTAAATTCACTGAAATGTTTTAATGGTTTTGTTTAAATCGCATTTTTTAATTCCAAGGAAAAAAACAAAACAAAGAGAAGATACGGATTTGTTTTTTTCTTGGCGAATTTGTTTAAAAAATCAGTGCAGTGTTCAGCCCGTTTCAAAGTCTTGATTAATCTGGAACATTTTTGGCGAACGTTATCTTAAATCTTCAGTAATTTTAAAAGAAGATTCGCGAACAATAAAATCCTGGTAGGTTGAGTAAGACGAAATTGTAGCAACTTTCTTCATTTGGCTTCCCTTTTGTCTAACGTGGAGCATTGGTACTGTACATTTCCTCTCGGGGCCGGTCAGTTCATGTCGATGGTGTTGAAAACCCACTCGGTGAACTTCTTGAGTTTGGCTGCGGAGGTCTGGGACTCTTCTTGGAGGCGCTGGTTCTCCTCCCACAGACGCTTGATCTGAGCCTGCATCCGCAACTTCTCCTCACGCTCCTACGACACATGAAGAAATGATTATCAGCTATGTAAACACTGGGAATTTCACGTGTCTGGCGCCCTCTGCTGGTGACACCGGGGAGTGAAACATGTTTAAAAGATGGATTAGCGGCGCCGCTCGTGATAACAGAACTTTAAAAAGACAGACGCTACAAATGTATTCAAGTACAGTGGTCCCTCGTTTGTCGTAGGGGTTACGTTCTAAAAATAACCCGCGATAGTAATCGACTTTATATTTTTTACAATTATTATGTTTGTTTTAAGTCTGTAAAACTCCTCATCACACACTTTATACACTTTTCTCAGACAGGACAGTCACAATCCTTTTTGCATCCTTCTTAAAACTTCTTGCTGCTGTCGTCCTTTTGTTATTTTCCTCCTTCCTTTATGCAACGAACCGAAGATTCATTTATTCCATAATGGAACCCTACAGCACAGAGTCCTGCACGGGTCCATTTTTGGAGACCCGCACCCTCGCAGTACAACACAGCACCCGCCCGTTAACCTGAGATTATATCAAACTTTTGCTCTGCTTACACCACAGACTGAACCAAGACTAAACCAGTACTAACTCAGGACTAATTTAGGACTATTTCCAGGACTGAACTAGGACTAAAACACGAGTAAACCAGGACTAAACCAGGACTGAAACAGGACTAAAACAGGACTGAAACAGGACTGAAACAGGATTGAAACAGGACTGAAACAGGACTGAAACAGGACTGAAACAGGACTGAAACAGGATTGAAACAGGACTGAAACAGGACTAAAACAGGACTGAAACAGGACTGAAACAGGACTGAAACAGGACTGAAACAGGACTGAAACAGGACTGAAACAGGACTGAAACAGGACTAAAACAGGACTGAAACAGAACTGAAACAGGACTGAAACAGGATTGAAACAGGACTGAAACAGGACTAAAACAGGACTAAAACAGGACTGAAACAGGACTGAAACAGGACTGAAACAGGACTGACTGTCGGGACAGGCTTGAAGGTGACCGCAGGATAAAGGACTGACTGAGAGCTCCACACCTCGCAAAGGTAAGCGCAGCAATTGCCCGATCGCGCTTTGCAGACAACCAGCTTGGGTTTCTCTCTCTTAAATCCAAGATTAGTCCTGGTTTAGTCCTGACCCACCCATGTGTAATTACTACCTGCCTGTAACATACAATACGCGTTCATATGCTGTAAAAAAGCATGCAAATTTGCACACACAAAAAAAAATCTGCGAGACCACGAATGGTGAACGACTGTACATAAATGGACATAAATGGAGGTAGGTGGATTAAGTCCAACTAGAACATTTCATTCAACACGACAGTCTGTTCATGAATAAAATAAAGGAGATTGCAGCTGACACATGCAGCACACAAAAGAGAAATAACCACCTCTGCACACAACAATAAACGGCAATGTAACTAGCAATGTCATTTAGTTTGTATAATGCAGTATGAGTCAGCTGCAATAAGGAAAAAGAACATTGCAGTATTTATGTACTTATGTAGCTGCTGATTTTGCTCTCACATTATTTACATAATATTTGCACATTTCATTTTGAATGTACTTTTAATGTGACAAAGTGAATACATTTGAACTCATTTGAAATGTAGATTAAACAGAGGAGCCACATAATCACAGCACTAATGGGCTTGGCTTTAAAATAAAATGCAGGGTTATAATGTTTTTAAGAGGTAACAATAATAATAAAAACACTACTGGTCAAAATTTTAAAAACACCACACTTTTCCCGTTTTTTTACGGTTTACTGCTGACCAAAGCATATATATATATATTTTTTTTTTATATATTTAAAAAAAAAAATTTATATATTACATTTTATATTTCAGGTTTATCTGAGGTAGTTTTGGCAGAGTTTGGACTTGTGTTTTGTTATATTTTATCTTTTTTTTTTACCTCTGGCTGTTCAGTTCTTACCTTTGTACCATTTCAAGCTCTTCATTGGGCTTGAATTGCAATAAATAACTGGAAAAATTAGGGTGATCTAAAACTTTTGGCCGATAATGTGTTAATAACAATTATTATAGTAATCAACTAATTGTAAAAAATAGATCATACAATTATAATTTATAATATTATAATGCAGATATATTGTTCCAGATTTATATTTAAGCACAGGTTAGATAACTTAAATGATACATTGTGGTTAAGAGTTTCAGTTTCCTCACCTTCTTCAAGTCCTCCTGGAGCATCTTCACCATGGCTTCAAGTTTGGTCACCTTCCTCTCCAGTCCGATGTGACCCTCACTGAAAGCAAACACAAAAGACATTGTTATTACAACAATAAATCAATCCACTAATTCTAGCTCTTAAACTTCTCAGAAAATATTTAGCCATCCAAGTAGAGTATTTTCAAACTATAAGTCACACTTTTTTCATGGTTTGGATGGTACTGTGACTTATACTCCGGTGCATTTTCACACTGACAGCCTCGAGAGGGCGCTCTAGTCTTGTGTGTCAGTATCTTCTGCTCCTATTCCTCCTGTCACTTGGCTCTACTGCGCATGTCTCCTGCAGAAAGAGCCTCTGTCCTGTCTGTATCATGTTAGTCGCACCATTACTTATAAACTTATTAAGACAACTGAGAAGACTGAACACAAATACCCCCAAAAAAGACAACCAGATTTTGCAGATTACAAGATGCAAGTAGTGGAATATGCAGCCGAAAACAGTAATCGAGTAAAAGAAAGGAAGTTTGGAGTGAATGAAAAACTTGTGACATTCAGGAGGGTGCACCATGCAATTTTCCTGGAAGTCATTGGATGAATTGACAAAGCCTGGACTTCAGTGACAACTGAAACCATCCTGTCGGGATTCAGAAATGCCAGAAAAATTTTAACGGGAACTGATCCCGAGTCTGACGACAGTGCGACTTATATGTTTTATTCTTCTTCATTATGCATTTTTTTGGCTGGTGCGGCTTATAGTCCGGAGCAACTTATAGTTAGAAAAAAAACAGTAATACTAGATCTAAACCAGGTCTATAATGGGACTACACCAGGTCTTAAAAAGGACCACACCATTGCTATACTAGTTCTAAATTAGGACACCTAATTTGAGTTTGAGAAACACTGCACTAAAATTAAGTAAAATCTTTATACTAATTATTATCAGCTTCATCGGGCCATTTCAATTTCCAAAAAGGCACAGAATGAAGTATTGTCTAAAATCTTGGTAGAACATCTCGTGTGAAGAGTAAAGTTTTACCTGGAGGCTGGGCGGGAGAGTGGGGCCGGCTGCAGCTCGATGTGGGGCTGCTGAGGACTGGAGGCCCCACTGTTCCTGTGGTTGGCATCTCCAAACACATAACTCCTCTGAACTGCACGAGACGAGAGGACAGGACATTTGAAGCAGTAGAAATTGAACATGAAGAAAGAAACTGCAGACAAACAAGGCTACAAGATTATTTTTGAATCAAGCTCGAAACCTTGTAAACAATGAGCAAATCGGAACATCTGCAACTTTTGAAGTACCATCATTTCCTCCACAAGCAAAACATTCTTTCTTCCTCTGCATGAAAGAACTCCTAACCTTGTAGTTTAGAACAGTACAAACTGTAATGTGATTCTTGCATTAGTCTTCTTCTTCCTTAAGGTAGAGTTTAACATCTAAATAGTTGAAGAAAATCTTTTCACAATCATAAAGCTTGTCAGAAATATCGCAATTTAACATTTTTCCCGTTTTATGTTGGTGTGTGCTGTTTACCATAGTGTGGTCCTCTCTCGCTCTCGTAGGTACTGGCCACGTCCACCAGGTGGGTCCACTCCAGGGGGCTGTCCCGGCCTGAGGGGAGGGGCATGAGCTCAGGGGGGAGGGGCCCGCGATGGCGCTCCACCAGGTCGACCAGGGAAGTGTCTGATGCTGACAGATCTCCTGGACACAAGTGACAAGTAAAACGTCTCCTATAATATCTGTTTCATTATTTTTTTTATGCACGACTTTAGTTTTTTGTTGTCACTTTAAACTAAACTTTAAACTTTATACCTGCTCTGTACTAGTGAAAAAAAATCATCAAACAAACTTGCAGATGGGAGTTTTAAAGGCGCAGTGACAGATTTTTACAATCATAAAACCAAGGAAAACAGAACTAATTCCTTTTAAACAGTTTGCAGTGGTCCAAAGTTATTCCCCACTTTCCTATCGCATTCCAAATATCCTAATTAATAAGTTTATGAGCGCTTTAGAGTTAAGACTTAAGACAGTCATGATAATTCTAACAATAACATTAAGTGTATTTCCAGGTGCTCGGGTGATAAAAATCCTTTATAATTAGATGCAGACTGGACAGAGCGATTTTATTTGATCCTAAGAGATGCTTTTACAATATAATAAAATCTGTACAGGGGAAAAACAAAACTTTACTACAAGAAATAAAAATAGATACAGTCCCTTTGCAGTAATAATAACGTGTTTGGCAGTAAAAGCCCTTTTCACAGTGACATTACATCACAAAGCCTTATGGGAAACCCCCTTAGACAAACAAACGCAAAAGCAAAGTATGTCCTCCTCCATCAAAACAACCTCCTCATTTTCAGTTCTAATATTCTATAATATTAACCAGGGGTGTAACGGTACACAAGAATAATGGTTCAGTACGTACCTCAGTTTTGAAGTCACAGTTTGGTTCATTTTCGGTGCAGTATGGGAGCAAAATGTAAAACCATTTGCTTGTTTATTTGGGTTTTTATTTAACTAGCAATTTGTTTCAACATTATACAAACAGGAAAATAAAATAAATGCAAAGTGCTGCTTGGTTATACTAATAAGTTAAATAAAATATTATCAAATAAGCAACAAATGTCTGAAATATTATAAAAAAATAATTCCTTGTAAACGGTAAACAAAACTTTTCAAAAAGTAAAGAGCAGCACTAACAGATCCAGCAAGAAGTTTTAAATAATAATAATAATAATAATAATACTACATCAGACTTATATAGCACTTTTTTGGACACTCAAAGATGCTTTAACTTAATGCTTTTACTCAATCTTCATATTTTTGGCCAGAAAAAACAACTTGTCCTGATTGTCTGCAGATCTGCTGGGGACTGAGATTTCGTGCCAGCGAAAGGTGAAAGTGAGGACCTGGGCGCGACCACCGTAGTTTTGTGAGGATTCACGTCGTTCAGAGGGACATAGTCAAGGCGGGGGGCAATTGTTGTCAAGGCAGTCGGCCTAACTATAAAGCTCTGTGGGAAACACTGACGCCCCAATCACAGACGAGTTCCCTCATGAATATTAAAGAGCCGAGCCTTCAGTGTAGGTGCATGTAGTGGAGGAATGTAAACACACAGATTGAACATCACTTATGCACAGCCCTGAACCGAACCAGTTCAGCACGAATACATGTACTGTTACACCCCCAATGTTAACTTTTTTTTGTTTTCCACATAAAGGTTCTAGTTTTACAGAGTTTAAATGTAGAATGTGCCATGTGCTGATTTGTTTGTGTGACACCTCCTGTAAAACAGACTAAACTCCTACCATGCAGCTTGACTCCCAGCTTGTAGGAGGGTCTTCTCAGTGGGACTCCCCGTGTGGTGGGGGAGCGAGGGAGGGTGGAGCAGCTGAAGAGGACGTCGGTGGCCAGGGTGGGCTCGTTGACCGTGTCCGACAGGGGCGGCAGGCGCTGGCCCCTGTAGATGCTTTCGTCTGACAGGGTCCTGTGGAGGGAGCGGCGGCGCGACAGGGGCTGCTCCGGGTCAGACTTCTGGGAGTGCTGTAGGGAGAGCACAAGGTTATGTAACGTGTGGAGGTAAATGCCGGTTTTCAGACCACGAATGAGTATGATTACAACTCTCTTTGATTGACGAGTTGAGAATTATATTATTTTTACAGAGGGATGTCAGTCTGGTCACCAAGTTTTTCCTCCAGTGAAGCAAATGAAGCGAAGAAGGAAACGAGTTTAGTGCTTTTCTCATTGATTCTTCAGAAATCCACCATGTTCTTCAGTCCCCTGTGATATTTCTTTTCCCTTTCTTTTTTCCTCATTTGCAGCTATTTGTTTTAATACAGATGTACTAAATCCACCTGTCAATCATGCAACATTCAACAAGTGACCAGACTCACATCTTTGTAAAGTATTGAAGTGTATATTCTGAATCCAGAGAAACACACTCTAAGCTGGGGATATTTACATTACAATTTTAAGAAATGTCAAATGTAAACACAAAAAAATTAAAAAGTGACTATCATCATTTGGGGTGTGCAAAAATATTGAAATATCAATATATCGTATCATTTAAGTTGATGATACAGTATCGATATTGTGGGCTGCTGTATCGATATATTGCCAAAAGCATTTTTCTGTATATTTCATTAATTATTTTGTGTAAAATCTACATTGTGTTGACATTTTCACTGTTTTAAATAAAATGGGAGTTTTTCATATTCGCATTGCACACAACTTTGTGGTTTAACAAAGACTTTTAGTATCAGAGCCACGATTTATCCTTTGTTTTTCACTGAACCGTATTCAGTGTTGGGAAGGTGACTTTTAAAAAGTATTCTCCTACAGATTACAGATTACATACCTCAAAATGTAGTTTGTAACATAATCCATTAAATTACTTAAAATGAGTAACGTAATCTGAATACTTTGGATTACTTGATATTGTCTTGCTTTTTAAAACTACATGAATGTAGCAACCACATCCTGAAAAGTCTTGTTTGTTCTCTTCAAATTGTCTGAGCCCAAGTCTCCATGAACAGACGTTTGTTTGCTGTAGAGAAGCAAAGACTAGAATCTTAACATAAAATGTTTTGTCTGCTAAACCAGATTAAAAATATTATTGATAGAGAAATGATTTTTATATGAGATCACTGCTGCCTTAAAGTATGTCCACCTACTGTTAGGTGTCTTATTGTTTAGATCTGGTTTAGTCCTGGTTTTACTCCTTGTTTTAGTCCTGGTTTAGTCCTGGTTTAGTCCTGGTTTAGTCCTGGTTTAGTCCTGGTTTAGTCCTGGTTTAGTCCTGGTTTAGACCTGGTTTAGTTCTGGTTTAGTCCTGGTTTAGTCCTGGTTTTAGTCCTTGTTTTAGTCCTGGTTTAGTCCTGGTTTTAGTCCTGGTTTTACTCCTTGTTTTAGACCTGGTTTAGTCCTGGTTTAGTCCTGGTTTAGACCTGGTTTAGACCTGGTTTAGACCTGGTTTAGACCTGGTTTAGTCCTGGTTTAGTCCTGGTTTAGTCCTGGTTTACTCTTGTTTTAGTCCTGGTTTAGTCCTGGTTTAGTCCTGGTTTTACTCCTTGTTTTAGACCTGGTTTAGTCCTGGTTTAGTCCTGGTTTAGACCTGGTTTAGACTGGTTTAGACCTGGTTTAGACCTGGTTTAGTCCTGGTTTAGCCCAAAATGTGAAAACAGGAAAATACCGCCATGTAATCCATTTATTTCAACAAAGTAACTGTAATCCAATTACCACTCACTGAAACAGTAACTGTAACTGAATACAGTTACTCATAATTTGTACTCTGATTACGTAACTCCAGTACATGTAATCTGTTACTCCCCAACACTGCTCGTATTGAATCGGTTTGAAATATATCATATCGAACCGTATTGACTATCAAAAAAAGTATCGTATCGTGGCCTATGTATCGAGGTATGTATCGTATCGGTAACTTCTTAATGATAACCGGCCCTAATCATCACAATAGAAAACTCTGCGACAAATGCAGTTTGCTCACAATTCCAAAAGTATTGTAATAAACAGGTCACAATAGCAACTCGATTTAGATTTTTGATTTGTCAGAAGATCAAAAATTATCCATATTTTTTTACATATCTTTGAAATTATGACACAATAAACATGCTGAGGTATGGAAGATAAGTTATTTCATCAGATTTAGAACTTTGACTTTGACTCTGAGTTTTTAAAGCCTGAAAAACATGTGAATATTTTTATTATAATGAATTTCAATGGCTGACTTTTGCAGAACACATTTTTCACGGTGGACAAAATGAGAAATGAAAAATTTAACCTTCAAATATGATTCAGTCTAAATCACAGAATGTAAAATATGCACTGAAAAAAAAAGTCACAGTCATTTTCTAGCTCCATATTGGGTGTTTTATGGTCACCTTCTCCTTATGCCGGCGCGGGACGGCGGGGGGGCTGTCTGGAACGCTGTGCCTCTTCACGTCCTCCTCCATGGTGGACTTGGCGTGGGGCTGAGGGGAGTGCATGTCCCGCAGAGAGGGCCGCGCCGCTGGGGTCGGGATCACATCCACACTGCTCTCTCCCGGAGACTTCCTGGAGACACAAAGAAGATGGTGCTTTTGTCACAATATGAAAAAATATAATAACGATAACAATAAACTTACTAAGAAAATCAAGAGAGGAAATTATGCAGGATCAAAACATTAAATTGTGTGTCAAATTTTAATTTCCTTGAACATGACCCAAGATAATAAGAATCATAGAGCTGATTTATTCTCATTTACAAAAACACTGAACAAAACGGCCAAGTTGAGTTTGTTATAATTTGGTGATTCAGATCTCAAACGAGAAGCCAGGGATACCAGCGGCTGATAAGGTCTGATGAGATTTTTGGACCGATATGTGGGACTGATTTTGATCATTTTCATCTAATTTGAATTTAGTCTAAATCATCCATGACCTTGTTTTACTATAAACTGGATCAGAGAGTTGTTTTGCAGTATCATCTTTGGATTATGATTGTGATTTAGGCAGCTGGTTGGGCCTAACAAAATATTGACCACAGCTGGAGATGTAAAGTCAATAACTGATATGATAAAAAGTGCAAATATTGTCAAAAATGTCAGTTTATCTCTAATACTGTGAATGAAAAATACTTAAAATTACTTAGACAAACTTTGATCCACAAGGGAAATTATTTGGACACATCACAATATAATATAATTACAAAGAGTAAAAAATATAAATGGCAATAATACATTCTCAATAAGAAGCAAAAAAAAGAAAAAAAAAGAAACAGGTGTCAAATAAGGCATAATTATATAAATGGGCCAGTCCATATGAAATCAGCTGTTTTCAATGAATCTCCCCTATGAGCCATCTCAGATTTGGCTGAAAAATGTTCTAAAAATTTCTAAAAATCACCAAATGAAAGAATCTCAAATTTTAGCTCAACTCCTTGCGTTGTTCCTGAGTTATGGCCCGTTGAAATTTTGGAGCCATGGTCACGTTTTCTGAAGTCTTAGTTTATAAACATGTTTGAGAGACCATAACTTCATAAAAAATAGAGCTAGGAAGCTGAAAATTGGTATTATTGTAGATTCTTGGTCATAGATTCTCGAATCTGATTTCATATGGACTGACCCAAATGTATGATGTAATAATGTATGTGTCCTGTGTCTGCAGGTTTAAACGCTGGTAACAGAGGTTCAGTTGTGATTTTAGTCTTTTTTTTAGAGCACAGTCTATTAAAGGAGTCATATTTCTTTACTGCAAATGTCAATCCCATTTCAGCTTTCATGTGCAATATTTATATCCTCCACAAGAGGGCAATCATGTGAAAGTAATGTGCCCATTCACAACTGTACTATGTCACTTTGAACATTTCAATACCCCCCATCGTCATTTGGCATAAATGAAAATTAAGGGAAAGCAGTCTCACACATGAGATAAAAAGGATGAAAAGAAGGATTATGAAAGAATGAATTAGCCCCAACACTTATTTGTATAAAAAAAAAAAAAATCCAATTATACAGTATTGAAGTGCATTACTTTTCTAAACCACAAGAGGGCAATCATGCAATATGCAATTACTGTCATCAGGAATGAATGGAGATCCACAAATTAACACCTCAATGTGATGTTATTAATGGAATTCAAAATGAGTATATCTATTTTGGGCAATGAAGAAACGCGACACCAGCTGTGATAATACCAGCTGTGTACAGTAAGACACGTAATAGTCGTAGAAACAAGTAGTACTTCACAGGATTAGCAGTATATTTTTTGCTTTATATTCTAAATCCTGCCACAGCACATCCATAAATATCTTTTATAATAGTTTTGCTGCTTTTTAATGTATATATGACAGATTTTCATGTTTTTCTAATTAATATTACTTGGTTTGCTGAAACAGTATCTATGATTTAGCAGATTTTTACACAAGTCATGTGACAGTTTGTGAAGAAAAGCTGAAAAATGTAAGTGAAAAATACAGGATGAACTAGCTTTGGCCCTTGTTTACTTGTTTGGTTGCTTGGTGACAGTTTATTGAATTACCTCGGCTTATGTCACATGCGCTGCCCAAGTCTAACCAGGAAGTGTATGAACTTCATTTTAAATATAATTATGTTAACTATGTTTTATTTAAATCAAATCAAATATGATTTATTGTCCCAATGCAGCGCACAATGAAGACAATACAGGCTCAACATACAATGGTAAAACATCAGAAAATAAGCATGAACAAGTGTAAAAATGCCTGAAACTGAGATACTAATTAATATTAAAACTAGTATCAGAACTAGACTCATTTGAGGAGGTATCAATATTTTAAAAAGTCACATTCGCAGGACAGAAATTAACTTAATCTTGAGACCACGTAGACTAGTAGATGCCCATGAACCAGGGTGTGCAAAAATATTGAAATACTACTACTGAAATATATCGTATCGTTTAATGTGATGATACAGTATCAATATCAGGAGCTGCTGTATCGATATACGGCCAAGAATACTTTTTGGTTTATTTTACTTAATTATTTTGTTACAGAGCTACAGTTTTGTTGCTTGTTTAGCGGAAGGAAACTCATTTATGCAACATATTTTACATTTTCACTGTTTTAATGAGTAAAATGTTTGTGTTTCATACGAACTTTGCACAAGAAGTGGTTTAACCTAGTGATTTAGCCTTTTTTTTTTATTGAACCGTATCGAATTGAGTTGAAATATATCGTATTGAATCGAAAGTGCACTGTATCGAGATATGTATCGTATCGTGGCCTATGTATCGCAGTATGTATCGTATCGCCAACTTCAGAATGATACCCAGCTCTAAGGATTACAACAAATATAAGACCACATGGTAATATAAAAGAAAATACTTCGATTTAATGTTGAAAATCACATTCTATTTTCTAAAGAAAGAGTTGTTCTTTATTATCAGAATCTAGCAAAGACGAGCGAAAATATTTTCTGTTAGTCACTTTCATGTTTTTTGTTGAAAATGAAACATCTAAACAGAACCATGAAAGCTTTTATTGATCACAGGCTTCTGAAAATGAGCTGTTTAAATCTGTTTTCTTGAGTTTTTGGACAATCTAAAGACTTAACAGGCTGTTTACTAATGTGTACATCGTATCATAGTCATTGTGGTAACTGCTTAACAATCCACCATAGAAATACACACAGAACACCCCTTCCATGATGTTAATTCCTTACTTGCGCGTGTCTCCAAAGTCCACAGAGTTGATGGTGGACCCGGGCTTCCTCCAGCCGATCAGGTACTTGGACTGGGCTCCCTGCCTGGGGTAGAAGCTCTTGGGTCCAGCCGGGGACACGGACGACTGAGACGGGGACGTGGCCGAGGACGAGGACTCTTCTCTGGGGGAGCTGTGAGCCGAGTGCCTGGAGCTGTGGGCGGGGGACAAATGGAGGAAAGGTTAATGGGACATAGTACTGCGAAAGGAATACACTTGCACTTAGTCGGAACAAAGAAGAGAAAGAATTAAGTGCATTCATCTTGAAGTAATTTGGTAATACTCTGTGTAGTGGTGCTGATATAATGGGATTAAAAAAAAAGCTAATAAACTGTAACTCCACTCTAAGCTCCTTTGCATCTATTTATTTTAATGAGTGATTTTACGTTATATATATTTTACTTGACCTTTTAAACATCCCATATTACGCAAAATTTATCTTGTAAGAATGTTGTTATCTCATTAAAAACATACCTGGAGTTGGGTTACTCAAATATGTATAAATGAAACAAAAAGCTTCATCATTAGTCTGTCTGCTCTCTACTCTGTCCAAAGCTCAAAATGCTCTGCTCCAACTTATGATGTCCTGAAGCGGTAATTTTCAAGCGACTTTAGTTCTTTAGTACCTTTAGTTCAGTAGAGTTTGCCAATTGCGGGGCGGAAATGATCCAAATCATTCTAGTGAAGGTGTATAGAGTTTAAAAAGCACTTCGCGTGTTATGTTTTCTGTTTGCGCGAAGAACTCAGCCTAAAATATGCAGAGTTTATGTGTTAAACATGTGTGAATGAAACAAAACACAACTCCAGGTCTGTTTGTGATGAGGAAACATTATTACGATAGCGTAATATAAATGAAATTAAACAAGATGAACAAGTGGCAATAAAAATATATATGAGGTGTTATTCTTTTTGACATAAACTGCAACCAAAACAAAGCAGTGGCTATATTGTTTTTTATGTGCTTTATCTTTTATACATCTAAATTAATTTTAAGTACTTCAAAGTCCATAAACTACAATATTTCCACTTCCACTGCATTCAATACCATTACTATATACTGCATTTTTATATTACTATTAGTACTATTATATATTGTGCATATATTACCTCCAAAATTTTTGTCCAGCTGACAGAATTACATTTTGTTTTGAAATGGAACCCATCTTAAAAGACTTTGAAACCGTGTTAAGTTTTTACAGTACAATACAGATGTACTTTATAGGTGCATTGTGTAACTTTTTGGTAGAGGGGGTCTGTCACCTGTTTCACTTCGTGGAAACCATCTGACCTCGCAGCATTAGGATTCGTTCTCTTGACGGTAGGTGGGTACTTTCTTATGTAACCAATCGCTGCTATTTGTAATGCGTCTGAACAAGTAAATGCCGGCGCAACAGCAAACAAAGCAGAGAGTGAACATGTTGTTTGGGGTGAAAGTGGCAAAACTGTTGTTGTGTCCTTAGGCAAGACACTTCACCCACATTGCCTAGTTTACCACCACCGAGTGTGGAGTGAATGAATCATGATCTGTAAAGTGCTTTGTGTGTCTTGAAAGGCGCTGTATAAACGCAATGATTAATTAATTAACTGATTACATGTCTGTCAAAGATCATTGTTGTTTCTGCGAGGTGAACTTGGGAATTAAAGGTGCAATAAAAAATGTGAAGTTTGTATCGTCTACATCCATCTCGACTGTTTTGTTTACTGTTGTGCTGTACCACAAAAGGGACCCAGACAGGCGCTTGGGTTTGACATCATGGCTCTACAGCTCTTCACTGATTGGCCGATGTGCGCTCTACAACCTTCAATCTAGTGTATTCTGATTCCTGACTTAGTCGCTGGAGAGAAATGAAATTGAGGGGAGGCACTAGGTGGCGCCAGCCTGGCTATCCGTCACCTGCTTGTTTCTATGGATATGTCATTGCTCTTCCTGAAATGTTCCACAGTACTATAACCTGGTCTGGTTTGGTCTCCATGAAGATAGAAAGGATTAATTCCAATACTGTGAAATATTCCAAACAAAGCGATAACATCTCCATTGAAAAAAAAGCATCTGACGGACCCTCCGCCAAAAAAGTTACACAACGCACCTTTAAGATCTCCTATGATGAATCTGAAGCACCATTATCATATCCGTATCATCTGTAGTTTCATCATAGGTCACTAGGCTCATCTTTTCCACTTTGAAGTATGACAAAGTACAACACGACCTAATCCTCAAACTGTCCTGGTCACGACCGCTCGCTCCATCTGTGCCCTGTGACTCCAAACGACTTACAGTATGTGTGTGTGTCAAGGACCATAACCTGAGCTGCTCCTCACATCACCGACAGGACCTGGTACACGAGGCCTGCATTTCCTCCTAATGTGGAAAGACGGGAGCGCGTTTAAATGGCCGCTGTTGTTTTCCAGGAGATCTAATTGAGGGAGGTGGACCTTATAGGCAGTAAAGATTAAAGTAATGAGAAGTGGAAACACGTGGTACACTGCAGAGGTCAGGTCAATGTAAATAAGACAAAGTGGCATGATTATATTGGAAGATAAAATTAACTTGGTTTGCTGCAGAATAAATTGAATTGAATGTAGTTTTGACGTCAGGCTTGGATTAAAAGGCATATAATAATGTGCTTTTCTTTTATGATTAAAGCAGATCTATTCAGCAAAATCAACTTTTTAGAATTTTTAACCATGTTATAATTGCTTCAATATAATATCCTTACAATATCCTTCTCATTTACACTCTCAGTTGTTTTTCAAGTGATTTGTGCATGTTTGAGTAATAATATTTTCCTGTATTCAAGACGTCATTGCACAGATCAAAACCATTTTCATCGTCACCGCTACTTACTTAGTTTTACAATTTAATTCTCTAAATCAATGATACACGGTGGATTTTGCAGCATCGCTTAGTCATTTTTGGTACAAATGGAAAAAAAAAAGTCTGCTACTCTCCAGGTTGATCTGCAGCTATCTACAGGAGGTGCCAACAACTTCACGGCTCTTTGTATTGACGACGATCAGCTTCCATTGGGCACCACATTTTTCTAACTCACAAGTCAATGGATTTGTTTCCTTTATTAAGAAATTTTAGATGAATATTGTGATTTTAAATGTCCAAATTATAACATAATCGTTCATAACTATAAAGGAGACACAAGCACAATATGGCTACGTTCAGACTGCAGGGCTTAATGTTCAATTCGGATTTTTTTGTGAAATCAGATTTTTTTTGCGAGATCATTCACATTTCCAATTAAATGTGACTTGTATGTGATCTCCAGTGTGAACTTGAAATGCCCCAAAAGTGTCCTGCATGTGTATTGGAGAACACACAGTGTTTACGGTGCCTAAACGCTGGGCTTGTCTTCCAAAATACGGTCCAGTTCTTCGTAAAATGGACAGGTTAAACATCCACAGTCAAATGTTGGTTTGAGACTCCTTGTATTTGGCTCACAGGCTCTTTATTTTTCGTTGACATTGGAGCCAGGACATTTCTTTGGCAATCATTTCAAAAACCGCCCCCGGTTCCAATAAGAGCCCTCCAATTTGGCCTGAATACAGCAATCCCCTCAAATATTAATTAACTCGCTAACCTCACTTTCCCTCCACTGACTCGACTCTGAGCCTGACGTGTAGGTGGGATGAATGTGACCTGGCCGTTCTGAATGAAGTCGCATGTCAAAAGATCGGATATGTATCGGTTTTAGGAGCACATATCCAAGTGGCCTGGGTCGCATTTGAAAAAAACTGATATGTGTCATTCTGACTGTTATTAAAAGATCAGATACAGGACGCATAGGGGCGAAAAAATCTGATTTGGGTCACTTCAGGCTGCAGTCTGAACGTAGCCTATGTGGTTTTAAATTAAGTCCTAACTAAAGATACACTGCAACTTTATAGATAGTTTGTCTACAATTCCACAGTATGGCATAGCACGTATTGATCTAGCTTTTGTTCCATCGCAGGTGTTTTTGTTGCTCTAAAACACATTAAAAAACATGTATTCTTACTAAGATTGGGGTCGCTTCTCCACAGATCTGGTCTATAATTTGGCCTAATGACATCAACTATCTCCATGTAGACAGATAATACCATAGTGTGGACCATTCTAGGCAAAGGAAAAACATTTTGATGGAGACAAAAAGCAGGCATACCCTTCAGAAAAGTTACATTATGCAGTTCAACTTGTTCAAACTTACACTGTGATTTTGTGTTTTCTCTTCCCTTTGAGAAGAAATTGGTTGTGACAATGCAGCGTCACACGGGGACATTTTCTATTTGTACAGTGCCAAGACCAAAACAAACTACAAATTTGAAATAAAAAGAAGGATTTAAACAATTTGAGGCTTTGCTATGTACACACTACAATTTATTTTCAGTATTTTTCAGTCTAGACAAAGTCATTCTTGTGGCCAATTCATTTTTATTATTTTACGATGGTTCTTCGTAATATTTTTTATCATTAAGTCTCATTAAATTTACAACCAATTACCTAAGCTCCAAATTGAATTCCAGAAGGACTAGAAATAAATCACTGTAGTTAAGGAGGTGTACTCTTTTACTTTTCTGGTGAAGGTTACGCCATCACGTCTCTATGGCAACTCATCTCTCCAGCATTTATTTTCATTGTGTGTTTCTCACAAATACCTCGAAAAACATTCTTACTGTGAAAGGGGTCACCTCTCCACAGCTCTCCACAGCTCTGACCTGTAACTTGGCCTGTTTGCATCACCTGCTTGTCTCCACGGTGACAGGCAAGTTTAAAGTCATACTGTGGAGGATTTCATCAAAAATCTCCACGGAGACAAGCAGGAAAGCAAGTGGCAACACCTCCATCAAAAAAGTTGGTAACACATTATAATAAGGCATACCTATAAATCATTTGTAAATGTTTATTAACCATTAACTAATAACTAACTAATACCTAATTAACAAGTGTTTATTAATCATTTACAAACATGGACAGGACAAAAAGTGCCATTACTAATTAATAAAACATTGATAAATGTTTAATTAACATCTACAAACAATTTACAAATTATTAATCATTAACTACTCATGTACTAATCATTAGGACTGGGTATCATTAAGAAGTTGCCGATACGATACATATCTCGATACAGTGAACTTTTGATTCGATGCAGTACTTTTCAAATAGATTCGATACAGTTCAATAAAAAATAAAGGTTAAATCATGGCTGTGATGCTAAAAGTCTTCGTTAAATCACTTTTTGAGCAAAGTGAATATGAAACACAAACATTTTAATCCTCAAAACAGAGAAAATGTCAAATGTGTCGCAAAAAAAAGTTTCCGTCCTCTAAATCATACAAGTCAGACTCAGGCCCAGGGGCCAGATTTGGCCCGTGAGATCATATCAAATATGTATTAGAGCTGCTCACCGGCTACAGATAGACTATAGAGACATTATTTATTTAAAACTTTGTATTGATTTTATATTATGCTTCCTCTGGATTCAATGTTTAAGCAAAACTATTATTAAACATTTATTTTAATAAGAAAAGTTTATCATTACATATCTTGCATATCTCAAAAGAAGAGAAAACATGCAGATATGGGTGAAATTTTTCAACAAATATTCAGTTTGGCCCACGACTTAGTCCCAGTTTTTAATTTTGGGCTACTATGAATTTGAGTTCGACACCCCTGTGCTATACAAGCAACAAAACTGTAGAGCTTTAACAAAATAACTGAGTAAAATACACCAAAAATACTACTTTGGTGATATATCGATACAGCAGTCCAAGATATCGATACTGTATCTTCACATTAAACGATACGATGCATCAATATTTCTATATTTTTGCACACCCCTACTAATTATTAAACACTTGTAATTTTTAGTAAATAATTGGTTAATGGTTAATAAAGATTTATGAATTATTTGCAGGCATGCTTTGTGTTACCAAAATGTTACATAGTGTATCTTTAGAAACTTAAAAAACACTGACAAAAACAAACTTGCATCTATCTGTACCTGGAGTGAGATCCGAGGTCGCTCAGGCTGTAGGTGCTGGCGTCTCTAACCAGCAGGTGTGTGGGTGGAGTCCTCCCCTCCCGGCTCTCCGACGGCGGCCCCGGAGACTCTGCTGCGGCGGGGGACCTCTCCAGCATCCTCCTGCCCCCCTCGGTGGGACTGTGCCAGGGGGACGTGGACCTGTCCCTCTCCCGGTCCCTGTCCCTGCTGTCCCTGCCTCCGCCCGGGGCCAGCAGGGAGGTGGTGCTGCCGTGGTGGGAGTGCGGGTGAGCGTGGTGGGCGGGCGCGTAGGAGCCGGTGCTGCTGTCGATGCCGCTGTCCGCCGAGGAGCCCTGCAGGTAGCCTCCTCCCCCCAGGCCGTTGGGCTCCGGTTCGCCCTGCTCTCCGCTGGACCCCGCTCCCCCGCCGGCCCCCAGCTCGTACCACTTGTCACTGTCGCTGTGGCCCCCGCTGGAGGCCGTGCTGGAGAGGGTGTTACTGCTCGAGTGGCCAGAGTAGGGGCTGTCAGACTGAACAGACGGAGAGAATATAAGTTTGTTTTGGCAGTTCATTACTTGGGGATGTGGAGCTAGCTGGAGGCACTGCTCTGTCTGAAGTTATTTTACTCAAGTTAGATTTAATCTGACCTTTGTTTTAACACAATCTGACCACACAAGCTGATTTAAAGAGGGGGTATTACACTTCTCTGGGGTATTAATTGTTAACACGTAACATTTTTAGATCACCATGTTAACTTTTACTGTATGTAATAAATGTACAATGTTATAAAATGTTTTGTTTCAGTTTTATTTTTGCACGAGGAGCTCCCCTTGCTCCTCATGTTAAGTCACTCCCCCTTCAGGGCACTATCACAACAAAATCAGCGTGCATCCCGCTAATGAAACTACCGCACATGGCATCAGTTTTGTGAGGGAGCATGGGTGACGTAGGCTTGTGGACGGAGCATTGGACACATAGAACTATAATAAAATCTGGAAGATGAGTCCAAGATGGCGTCGTATTGTTTTCAACGGTCTGTGCTCAATGGCGCTTGGGGAAGGGTTAGCTCCTCCCACTGGTGTGATGTCTGTAACGAGTACAGCATGAAGCGTTTGGACCAATCTGAGCGAGAGCTGCTAGAACGGAGCTAGAGCGGGCTCAGAGTGAGACTAGGCTAAGTCTTACAAAGATCACTTTTAGGCACTTTGAGGATTTAAAAAAATTAAAAAGCTTATGTTGTGAAAATAGAAAAGAATCCCTACAAAATCCAACCTTTGTAAAAGTTATCGATGCTCTGTCAGAACATGGGCAGTTTGAATTCCCAAAAAATGCATTGTGTTTCTATGGGAGAATTCTTTCTTGGCCCAAGCTTTGGGGAGCTGCAGTACCTGGAGCGACTACTAGTCTGTCTCGAGCCAGGAAAGAGGGGGAATGTCTTATCCATTTTTTTATTATACATTATATTATACTTTTTATTTATTATTATCCATGATTAGACAGAATAGTATTGGTCATTAAAGTTGGAATAGGGCCCAGGAAAGATTGCTAAATTACTCAAACATGCATAGGTGACATAAAAAACCATATCAGGCATGTTTCTGATGAGAGAACAATTTTATAACATGGTAAAAAGCTTCAAAAAAGGCATAATACCCCTTCTTTAAGTGCAACAGGTGAGGTCAGATGTGCAAGTTCCTCTGATGATTCAACAATAAAGTCACGAACAAGCCAACAGTCACCCCTTTTGTTGAAAATCAAACACTTAAACTAATCACAGGCTCAATAAAATATGTTTCAAACCATTTAAAAACATATCAGTCTATTATAAACATGACAGGACTACAGAATGTTGTCTTGTCATCCACTCCCACGAGCACTGATCTCACTCCTGAGCATGAAAATCAATAGAATCAATCGATATTTCATTGGAGCGCTTTACGTATGAACTTTGCCCAGACCTGGCTGCCCTTCTTGGGGGAGAGGTGGATGACCTGCTCCTGCCTCTGGATGCGTGGACCTCCAGAGAATCCTTGGCCAGATTTGGAGGTTGGGGCATCTGCAATAAAAAAAACAACAAAAAAAAACACACACACAGAGAATTTCAGTGCCAAAAATATCCCCCAAAAGCCTGCAGCCCAAATGGATGACTTCCATCTGACTCAGTAGAGCAGCAGTAGCCTGAAGTGGGAGCAGTGGTAGCAGTTTATTTAAGGGGCACATTTGGAGAGAGATTGCAGCCGTTGGAGTAATACTGAACTGTTCTCTAATCAAGGATGAAGCAAGTCTAATTTTTAAACTTAATATTCAATCAATGTTTTTGTCTGATAACATTAGTAGATGAACATGAGGCCATATTTTTTATGTAATTATGTGTTATGAGCTCAAAAACCTTAAACAGAGCTTAAAGGTGCACTGTGCAGCTTTTCTGGGTCCAACACCTGCTTGCCTCCATAGAGATTTTGTTGTTTTACCCACAATGTTCCACAAATCAGCATTAAACCTTCACCACCCAAGACAGTTCATCTATTAAGGATTTGTGTGTGATGTGGACGTCACGTGACTTAATGTTTTGGCGGCCATACTGGAGGTCAAGGTTGGGGTTGATCCGGAAGGTATTATTCAGTTACCGTAGTTTCCGCACCATCAGCCCCATCAAAAAACGAAAATCCAGAGCGCCCTATACACGAATCCACTCAGGTGTCCCAGCATGACTTCCGTAAACTACAGCGCACGCAAACTCACACGGAGAGACAGCGACCGCGCAACGAAACACACCCACAGTCACACTCATCAGTTCACGCCGACGAGGAACGGAACGGAGGAACGAACCGAAAAAGCGAGTGCAATGTGCCACTTCTAGACACAAGTGAACAACTGAGTCACTGCGAACACGCCGACAATCCGTTGGTCCCAGACAGCACCTCCCTACACGCCACAACTGAACAAAGCCCAGAGTCACCGTGAACGCACCAAACAAAGTCCCACTGACCCATCCAACTGTTGTGTTTCGTTTAAAGTCCGTGCGGTTTATTTGTGAATAAAGTTCGAAAACAGACCATTCTATGACAGTGTAGTGTATAATCCAGAGTGCCCAATAGTGCGGAAAATACGGTACTACAATATAATCATGGCTACTTTAAAGAGCGCAAACAACATAAAACTGTACGAAATCTCCAGCTCCTTAGATCAACCGTCATTAGAAAGATTTAATGCTAAAGTCGTCCTCCTCGGTTGTGGAATATATCCCTAATTCCGACGTTCGCTCTGTGCCCAACCTCCAATATCCAGATATTTATAACAACTTAATTCATTCTACATCGTCCTACACCAACCAAGAACTGAAAAGTTACAAGGGGTTAGAGGCTTATAAATATTTTGCGGGATGAGTGAGATCTTTGTTGATCATCAAGCCATCACGTCTGTTCCTGATAACGGCCAGGGTAAGTAGAATCGGGGTCAAAATCAGAACCGTAGCGACCCCGGGCGGCGAAAGTGAGGACCGGGGCGGGATTCTGTGCCGTCAAAAGGACTACATAGACCATGATCCTTTGCTCCATTTCAGTGTAACCTACATGAAGAAATAACTGTTCTAAGCACTTTTAAGTCTTAGTTCTTTGGATTAAGTCTTGTCAAGGCAGTTTTAAAAGGAAAAAGTAGCATATTCACAGTTTTGTTAGCCTCTAAATATATTGCAATAAATATCGTACCGTTTATAGTCTTGCTACTCCGAACAGTTTCAGAACAGTTTCTTCCCACTCCTTTTTGGGACAATTTAAAATTTTCTGTTATTTCTGCTATGATTTCATTAAGGTTATATGTTCTATTGTAAAAGAACGTAAACTTCTTACTTGCCCAAAACAAATACATAAATCGAAAATACTTCTTGGATTATTGATTAATTTTACTCTATACTACAGCATTGCTAATATTACAATAAAACTACATCATGTCCTATCTCTTCTTCCAGCCATCACAAAACCAAAACCTGCAAAATTTCTCATTAACGCCTTCAAACAAACGCGTGTCCCTGGTCGCCCCCTGCTGGCCCATGACTGTTTGTTCTGGACCAGCTTTGCAATGCAGTGTGAGAGGCTTAAACGTGTGTGTGTGCATATCCCAAAGCAAAACTCCACAGTTGTGTAATTGTCTACGCGTTATGCAAGAGAGAGAGAGTAGGCCGACATTGTCCACAGTGTGAAGAGGAAGAGAGTAACATCTGCTAGGGAAAAAATAACAAATCTTGCGCTAGATATCCCCCAATTTGCCAGCAGAAAAATGGCTACTTTGCATCGCGAGTCCGCACAAAGGCTCAAGGGGCTGTTCCTGCTAATTACAGACTCTTATTCATGTGGATGCCAGCCTTTTGAAGAACGGTTTGGGTTTGTTGTCTTGCAGTGTGGACGCGAAGATGAAAATAAAATGCGGAAATGTCAAGCTAAGCAACTGAAATAGTGAATTTTTAACATAACATTCTAATAAATTGTTCTGATAAATGTTCTTAGGCAGTAGTTTGTAGTGACATGTCTGATTCGACTGTTTTAGGGAGTTGATTTAGTGGTTGGAAAAAGATTAGCAGCCTAGACCGGTGTTCCCGAAACTGTGATACGCAAGCCACTTTCAGACCTGGTTTAGCCCTAGATTAGACCTGGAATAATCCTCTTATAAACCTGGATCTGATGTGGTGTCTTTCCTTTTCTTTGATGCTACTTGGTGTGAAAACTTTGAGAGCCACTGACCTAGACTAACAACGGGCCAATAATCCTCCAGATAAGCAGTTCTGACCCCATACCAAGCTCAAGATCTGGAAATGGGCCTTGTTCTAAAGAAATAGTGTGATAAAGAAAGGAAGCACTTAAAAAAAATTGTGAAACTTGGGTTCATTTCAGAGCATATTACTTGAGTAGATAATTAAAGGTGCACCATGTACCGTATTTTTCGGACTATAAGGCCACCGGATTATAAGATGCAATATCAATAATGTTGAATTCTCTCATCCATTTTCATACATAAGGCACACCGGATTATAAGGCACATTAAGTGAAACAAACGGAAGACACTTGAGACTGATCCCTTAGCCCAGGCCTCCACGACCCATTGGCAGATCGTGCTGTAATTCGCCCGGCGTTGCCTTGCCTTGTCTTGGTGAATGTGGGTGGATAATTTTTTAAATAATATTTGTTATTTTATTTCCTACAAGGAGGACTCAAATATTTGTTGATTTGTTTACATTTTACAGAAACAAAACTTAAAACCACATGGCTCATTTGCATAAACTATAAGCTCTGAAAAAACAGCTCGCTCCTTGTGCGCTGATGTGGTTGAGTTTCTGTTGGACTAAAGGACATGACTCAGTGGAATATGTGTGTTCTCCGCGGGGCTCCTGACTACGGTAGCCGTAATGCTCCGACATTCCACCAAGCGGCGCGGCTTCGTAGCTTACCAAACTCTTACTAAAGCATTTTGACAGATTTTTGAGCACCGTGTACCACATAAATCGGGTCGAGGTCAGTAAGCACAACCAGAATTAATACATAAGGCGCACTGGATCATAAGGTGCACTGTCAGTTTTTGAGAAAATTAAAGGATTTTAAGTGAGCATTATATTCCGAAAAATATGGTAACTTTTCTAGTGGAGGGACTGCCACTAGCTTGTCTCCACTGAGATGTTATGACTTTGCTTGGAATTGGTTTGTAAGATGGAATAAAAATCGTCTGGCTCTTCGGAGACAAAAAGGTGACACCAGCAGGTCAAGTTACAGGTCGCATCCACGGAGAGGCAACCCTGCTAAAAGTAAGAGTGTATGTTTTTCAAGGTATTTTTGATGTATAAAAACACCTGAAATTGATTTAAGGCGAGCTCATCAGGTTTAATGCCATACTGTGGAACATTCCTGGCAAATAAGACAACTAGTTGACTGACCCCCATGTTAGTTGTAATGATTAAGCATTTTAAAGCAATATATCTAACTATATAGCTTTAAAAAATCTGATAATGACATGAATATTTTTTGTCATGTCCTCTTGAATTGACCCAAATGATCACTGACAATAGTTTTTCCTGAAAATATAAGTATGTGTACCACTATAACCTCAATAACATCACATCGTATTGTGATTCAAACCTAGAATCTACGTTTCAAGCTGTCAGAGTTATGTAAAATGCTCTCATCTGAATGACTCACTGTATTGATCACCAGTCTGTAGCCCTCTGCATGGCAAAAGTTCTCCAAACTATTACATACTGTATCTCTTTGTATCTGACCCAAACTGCACTCACAAGACTAAACAAAACTACACCTGCACACGAGTTCATACAAAAGCAACTACAATGTTTACCATAGATTTCACTCAAACTATGGCGGATACAAATACTTTCTAGATTAATCGTTTTCTTGCGCACAATTTGTGGAGTTTAAATATCACGTATTGCCTGTATTTCATGTTTAAGCTGCGTTTTTGAACAGTGTAGTCACTTTTTATGTAGGAGCAAAAAAAGTGAGATTCTGTTATGTAAATGTTTAGTCTATGTTCTCTTTAGACTATGGGGGAAACACCATAGAGTCTTATTTACATACAAACCCCAAAGTTTCAGCAAACTCAATCACCAACCAACTTCTCCTTTCTGCTTTTGTCTCATATAAAGCCTTATAATCTAAATAAAATAAGGCTTATGGAGTGAATGAACAATGATCTGTAGAAGCGTTTTTGTGACATGTCTGTGAAAAGCGCTATATAAATTTTAAAATACTTACTTTATAACAAATAAAAAAATACTTGTTTTAATGGAAAGAAAAGGGGAAAAAATTACCTATAAAATTATACTTTAAGATCATAATGAAGAGATGATGAATTGAAATGATAATGAAAATAGTATTAATGACAAAGTATTTATTAAGAATTTGAAAAAAAGAAAGGAAAATAAGATTATAAATAAATAGGCCTAAATATACAAATAAAATGGGGCCTGACAGTATTATTATAGGTTATGCTGCACACCATATTATTTTTATTTTTATCTTTTTTGTTTTGTTTTGTGTGTGTGGGAAGGGGGTGGGTTAGAGG